CCCCATGCATTGCCACGAGATCCAGATCCCCATGCCTGGCCCGGCCCGGCCTGGCCCGGCCGCCCATCCTCTTGAATCAGCGTCAGCGTCAGCATTCATTAGACACATCTGGAGCCGAGCAAAAACTCAACCTGACGTCTTAAAAGGGTTTGTCTGCCGCTTCCGCATCCGCATCCATCCACGAGTCTGCCGTCAGGCCATTCGACATCGACATCGGCATCCCCGAGCACGTGTGTCAACGCATGCTGACGATGAATACCTGCGCATCCCACAGCCATGTGCGAGCTCTACCCACCCGCCCATAATTTGTATTATTTCTGAGGGGACGACGCCGAGTGGGCAGGATTTTTCATTTGTTCATTGGTTCTGTTGCAGCTGCCAGTGGGTCTGTCTTGGCCAGTCCTCGCCCTGTACTTTCTTTGCTTTATTCCGCACATCGTTTGTCAATCGTAAATTGTGAGCTGACAGGGACAAATGGCATTGGAAGTCGATTTTATTTGCCGGCGATTGTGGCAAATGAAGTGGAATCATTTTCTTGATTCTTTTTTGTTTTACGAGTGGACGGGAGCACCCAAAATTATTGCCCCGACCTGGCTCTCACTTGGCCAACCTTCATGCTCGTCCAGGTCCATCTCCCATCCCCGCTTTAATGCCTAATGTAATCAGAGCTGATGGCAGCCAACGAAAGTAAACATTTTGCACATGCAAAATGAAATTGGGTGCAACGAGAAATGTCGACAGCTTGCAGCTGTCTAGGGGCGGGGTCGGAAAGGTGCTGCCATTAACTTATTGAATTTTAGCCAATTTAGCAGCAAGCACTTAGCAGACCACACAGCATCGCATCGCATCGCATCAGTCTCGCAGAAGAAGGAGAAGAGGCTGCAGCACGAGCGCACAATTGCCCGGGGGCAATGTGTCTGTCCACGGCCATGTCCATGTGGAAGGCTGGCTGCCACGTCAAGTGGCGGTCCAATTTAGTGTGGCAGCCCCGCTCAACCCAACTAAATCAAGCTGTGCTGCCTAGCCAGCGCCATTGCACTGGCCACCTGTCAAGTGCATGTAGATAAATTTCCCGGCTAATGGTGCCGAGCGCCCTGGCTAGCCGCAAAGAAACGTGGCAACTGTAGCTCTAGCTACAGCCGGAGCCAGTGCCGTAGCCGGAGCTGTAGCCAGAGCTGAAGCTGTGATTGTGATTGTGAGAGCAAGTGCAGCCGGCAGCTGTTTAAAATGCTACAAAAATAACAGTGATCCGACGAGAGGCAGCTTGCTACTCTCCCAGTTAACTTAATTGAAAATCACAAAAATTGGTCATTCCGGCACAATGAGCAAAGCAGCCAGAGGGTTGGGTCGGGTTGGGTCGGGTTGGAGACGGTGATTGGCAGCAGGGGGAAGGGAAGGGCAAGAGCAGAAAGAGCAGCAAGAGCGGATAGTGGCAGCGATAAATGCGGGCAAAGTGCATGGCAGGAAGCGCAAAAACAACATGCTCGGCAAATTCAATTCGCTTTAAAGGCTCAGCGCTGAAAGGCTTTTTGCTGTACCAAAACCCCACTGGAACGAAGCGAAACGAAACGAAAACTGAAGTTAAGTTAAGTTAAGTAAGGAAAGGAAAGGAAAGTAAAGGGGCCAAGGCAAACACACTCGCTGTTGGCTTGTGTAAACCATTTCCACTCTGCTCGTGCTGGCAATTTTTTCCCTTCCGTCTGCATGTTTAGATAAAAATAAACTTTTAAATACAACTCGCAAAGGCTCTTTCCGGTCTCCACTCTTGCCAGTCCTGTGAACATACACAGACACACACACACACACACACACACATTTCAACATTAATTCATTTGATGGCTGAAACACCAAGTAAACATCGTGCATTGTTTAGACTGCCTAAAATAAACTCAAATAGTGGCAATCGATTTCGATGTGCCACCCATGCACGATGCAGCCATGTGTGCATAATGGCATTACAATCAGTTTTCAAAGGAACCCACCCAACCTCACATTGGGTGAATCCATATCCATCCTCTACCCGCCCCCCCCACCGAACTTATAAATAGCACGAGTCGGGGACGGGGACTTTTGCTTTAATTTGCCTCTCATTTCAATAAACCCTTCGCTGCCAAGCAGAGTTTTGAGCTCATAATTCAGTCCCAGTCACGAACCCCGGCCTAGGAATTTATACTCGAGTTCAGTGGCACTCATTTTTAAATCTCCCAGTATCGGCGAAAATTTATGAGATCCAGAAAAATGAAAACATAAACTTGTCAGTCACACGTAGGCACATAAATTGCCAAGGGTCCCTGTTGGTCGACTGTCATTTGGTTGCGGCGTGTAATCCGAGCTCATAAAGTTCAATAAACTTGAGGGGATTAGGTGGCTGCTCCCTCCGGCTCCACCCACGAGGCCCTGCAGGGAAGTGCACTAATTTATGGGATCCACCGTGATGCTCGTATCTCCTCAGCACTGACCTTTTGCCCGGCCACACAAATAAATAAAATAAAATGGCATAATCGCCATCGTAAAATGCGGCTCTGGCACAATTCAAATGAAATTGGGCATGCCAGTACCCAGTGCCCACTGCCAGTGGTCAAGGATATGCGGCTGCTCCTTTTTAAATAACTCTCCACTCTGAGGTGTGCCCATGCATGAAAATGGCCATGGATACGAGCTGGAAATGGAAATAGTCAAGTAGAGTGCTGTGAAGGGCATGAAATACTTTGGGTAAAAGTTTTGGTAGGGTGGGGAGGTGGTAGGTGTAGGGGGAGGGACACACGAGCTCACAATGTGCCTCATTTTGAATAAATTAAATTTGTTTGCAGCTGGCCATAATAAGCGGTCATTCCATGTCATGGGCGTTATGGTTTGGACAGATAGATGGATGGATGCTGGGATCTGGGATGAATGGCAGCCGTGCTCCAATAATTTCATTAGGAACAGAAACAGGATCGCTGTCGAAGAGCCCGCAGCTAATTAGGCGTTTTAAATGTCAGTCGAGGCGGCTTAAAAGGGGATCACGCTGAATTTCTCTAGAACATATGCCAGTGGCGGTTGGGGCTTTCCAGCTGCCGGCTGCCGGCACAATATGGCCAAAACAAAGCTCAATATGCTCATAATCAGACGAAGCTGCCAAGCTCCCCATTAATTATGCATGTGTGTGTCTGCAGCATATGGACAAACTAAGCAAGGAGCAGAGCGGTGGGGTGGTGAGGAGAGGAGAGGAGAGCTACCCAAAGTGGCAGTCATTTAATGGGCTTAATTAAATAAACAAATGGCAGCGCGCTTTTGGCCATAGTCGCATTAAAAGTGTATGCAACACAGAGCACGAGTGGACCAAAGGATTGGCGCGGCAGTGGACCGAAATAGAAGTGTTGGAAGTGGGAGTAGGGAGCACAACCTGGCCAGTAAGCTTGCATAATGAATCGGGATGCGAAAGAATATTAATGGATTTTAATTTGTCAGTTGGTCCGCTCTGCACTTTGGCCTTTCGCTAATCGAATATTTAATTAGTTTGATGCCTCCCGCATTGGCTTGAAGATTAGCAGAAGTTTCAGGGAGCATTGTTCTCGCGGGGGAAAACCCCAAACCCCAGACCCGAGCTCCACCTCGAACATATCCCAAGCCCAAACACAAACGCAAACCCGAACCCAAACCGAAACCGAAACCAAAGTCAGAGTCAGAGTCAAAGGCATTTGCAAGATTTCTGATCGGACAAACAAACCGAAGGAGGGGGAGGGACGGCTCGGGAAAGGTCCCCCGCCTGGGTCCTCTGTGACCCCCCGAAATGACCTCAGATACAAGATTGAGAACAAGAACTAAATTTCTAAAGTGCTTTCTCGAGCCAAGTCAGAGCAGCCCCATGGGCCGCTCTCGCAATTGCCGCCAATGATGATGGGAGCAGGGCGATGGGCGATGGGCGAGGGTCTTCGCAGGACCCTTCGTCCTTTTACTTTGGCTTACTTCGCTTTGCTTTGGTCCTGCTTTATTACACTCAAATCATTTCCAAGAGTCAACTTCAACGGCCTGCACCCAGCGCGAAGGGGTTGAAAACAATTCTGAAAATTTATTTTCATTAATTTCAATGCGCTGCAAAAGTTTGCTGCCCCCAAACAGAGGGAAAAGGGGGGTCAGATCGGGTGAGTCAAATAATTACTTTTTCGGATTGGACCAGCGTGTCCTTTTTTAATTATTTCGCCAAAGCTTTGTTGCCCCAGCTCCCCTGAGCACGCGACTAGCGAGGCGAGCATAATTAATTTATTTCATTTTTTTCGCACAACGTTGCCAATAATTAATTGAAACAGCCCGAAGAAGGCGTCCGCGTCCCTGCACCACTCTTCGGTCTGGCTGACAGCGGATTAGGAGACTTCTATGTGTTGTCTGACTCTAACCCGATGACATGCCCAGGCCCAGGCCCAGCCCCAGATCCACTGAAGTGGCATTGGAGAATGATGACGCTGATGTTGGGGAAATGACGCGCAGTCTATGCCGCCATATTGATTGCACTTAAGCCCCTACAAAGGGCATAAAGCAGACTCTTACCCTGACTTGGACTCAGAGTCAGAGTCACATTCAGATTCAGATTGGGAATCACATTTGCTTTGGGATCCATCCTCTACCCGTCTTCCTTCTGCTGCTGCTGCTGCTGCTGCCAAGCCGTAATGTCAATAACATGCAAACTGCTGACGCCTAGGCTGACATCCCTGACTCAGCAGGCGGCAATCAGGCCGGCCGACTCGTTCAATGTCAATGGATGAGTGTGTGTCTGTGTGTGTGTGTGTGTGTATCTCTACCACCATCTGTCTGTATGTGGGTGTACGAGTATCTGTGTGCTAGTTGGGGGCCTGCTGTTTGTGTTGCATGCGCAGCTGCCAGACACAACAGACGCTGAAAAACTTTGCTCTGTTTGCTCGTCCTTATCGCTGGAGGCCTGCACTTTGAACTGAATGAACATGAACTCCGAATATGCTCCACTTTGATCCCCTACTAATTGTATTTATTTCTTCTATTTTTAGATACCAGCATTGAAGCGATGGTAAGTGAACGAATACGAAAACAAATACGTGTACAAAGCACCATCATTAACAGAAACTCTATCGATTTCTGGGCAAGACTAATTGTGGGTCGGTCGTATCAAGCATCGGCCAGTTGTGCAACGAGACGCGCGTGCACATGCAGATGGACTGCCTGACATGGGGAAATTAATTGCGATGCTTTTGGTTAATGAACTAGTTGAAAAAAAAAACCCGATAGTGCAAGCTGAGGTCACAGGCAGGGTGCGGATAAGAGGATGGAAGGGGCAGTGGCGCTGGCAAAAAAAAGGACAATTTGCTAAAGTGACGTCAAAACAATTACGTGCAAAAATACGCTTGATAATAAAATGAAGTGGAATGGCACCCACTGCCAGTGTCAGTGCGAGTGCCGGTGCCGGTGCCAGTAGGCGGTTCTGGGGTGTGCTCGGACTCTGTGAAATGCTGGAACGTGTTCAAGTGTTGACTTTTATAAATTGTGCAGTCGTCTCTTCTTGGCTGGAGCTGGGGCTGAGGCTCCTCCTTGAGTTTGTTCAGGTGAAAATGTGTTGGCGTGCGCCCAACTTGGTCAGCAATTAATTACGCCTGCAAGATGGAACGACAGATAGATATACAGATAGACAGACGGACAGACAGACAGTCAGCCTGTCAGGCAGGGAGTGGGTGGGTGCCGTGCCATGCAGTGCCTCGTCTAAAGATATCTTTAAACTGTATTTAGCAAGGCCAAGCCAATCAGCTTCAACTGGCTGAAGCTAGAATCAGTAGCCCAGAACGCTCAATACACTGCGCGTATTATTCCGTCTGTTGCTTGGCAGCAGATTTACTCGTATTTTTGTCTGCCATGCCTGCCTGACTGCCTCTGAATGACATTCCAGCGAAGAAGTGAGGGAGTGGAAGAAGTGTCCGCTTTAGTTTATCTCGACGCAGTGAGCGTTAAAATAATTGCAGGCTTTTCTTTCAGCCTTCTGTGATTCTGATTCTGTTTCTGCTCCTGCTACTCTGCTTTCTGGAAATTCTGTTTTGCAGCCCTTGCCGCAATTAATGCCAACAGATTAATTATACGCATGGCTGCATATTCTGCGTTGGCTGTTTTTAAATTTATTTTTATTTTCCGCCGCAAACGCAACAAAGGCGGAAACCATAAAACCCACAAAAAGCCAGCAAAAAAAGCGAGTAAACCGAAAAGGGAATGCTGGCTGCTCCTAATGAGTGGACATTAGCCGATACTCTGGTCATCGCCGGAACCCTAATTTGGTGTGACAAGGGGCACGGCATGAATGGCGGATAATCAAGTTGGCAAACTCTGCATCAGCCTGCCTCCTGCCAGCTCAGACAACCTAAAGCATATTTTAAGTGACTGCAATTTGGTATTGATAGTATCGAGGCAACAGATGTGGCAACAATAACTTTGTGTCACGAGCACGGCGAGCATGGGGAGCATGGGGCATGGGGAGTACCATAAATCTTGGCGTTGTTGGTATTAACATCCCATGTGTAAAAATGTCAACTCGCAGGGGCAGGGCAAAACTACTTCAGTCAGAAACAGAGCCACTCGAAGGGTCTGGTATGCGCAGGTGCTGGGGAGGGAGGACTCATGTGAGAGGCGTTTGGGCGTGCCAGGAACCCAATGGAAGGAAGGGTCGCTGGCCCCTTGGCACTGGCACTCTCGTTGATTTATTTGCATTGGCCGTGAGGAAAGCGTGGCGTATGATTTATGATTTATGTTTGGACGGATTATTCATTAAAACAAATTAATAGGCGACGGCTGTCGTTCTCGTATCATTGGAGAATACAAAGCACATTAATTGCATATAAAAACCTCCAGAGGAAACATTAGGAGCACTATCTGTGAGGGCGCCCAGCCATTGGCTTCCCGTCATTCAAAAGTGGAAGGGATCTGGCACCTCGCAAGGGCAGCCAGGCGACAATTTGCAGATACTTTGGGGGACAACAGCAGCTCTAGACGTTTACTTTGTCGTATTAAGTAATAAAAATGTTGTAAACGACATAAAATGGAAGTAGAAAACTGCCTTAACTACTAGGGCAGCAATGCCAGACAAAGAAGCAGAACCAGAGCCTGCGAGTAGTAACCGTACGTACTTCCAGGCAAGCTATACGGCAACATGGCGTATTAAATATTATAAAAGGCAATTTGCAATTCTCATATAAAAACCACACGGCAGAGACCGAAATCTCCACCACACACTCAAGCATACATCCACATCTACATTTCCACTCACCCAACGAGTCAGGCCATGTGGGTGGGGTAGTCTGCCGGCAATCATTAGCAACAAAAGGCCGTAAACCTACAAGGGCAAAGCAAAACAACACGAGGATAGCTATGTGCGTGGACCGAAGGCTTAATACCCTTGCAGATCGATCAATCCAATGCAAACTGTATGCTATATTCATCCACTTGTGAGACAACATGGCTGAGCTTTTGTGAGAACATTCAGACTGACATGGCAATGTTGAGAACAGCCCGGCCCTACTGAGATCCTTCCTTCACTGCGTTGCAAACATTTGATCATAATCAACATACCCTCTGGAGAGTACAATTGTTACAATATGTAACAAGTGTAAGCAGTGTGCCAGGGCCAAGCCAAGAATATTCCACGCCCGAAGGATGTTGGGGCAACCGCAGGAGAAAGCCAAAATGCCAGGGCCAGATGACTCCTGCCATGAAGCGGAAGAGGGTAGATGGCACAGGGAATACATACATTCAATTGCATATGCCAGACGCGTTGATAATTGCGGTAGAATTAAAAGATTTCGCCAGGTTGTTGGCACAGGATTTGTTTGCACTGGGCGACTGTAATTAAAGTCATCGTCTCTCCGGGTGCTGGTTTCGAGGGGAGTCCTGCAGGTAATTAACATTTTTATGTACTTTTTCATTATGGGAGCGAGCGAGATGTGTAAGAGCGGGATGGCACACAATTAAAACTTGATTTATGCGCAAGATAATACATTAAACAATGTCATGCCCAGAGAGCAAAGAGTTCATTCCGTTGTTTCTACGGGGCGCCTCTTGATGCTGTGTTCATTTAATGGTTCTGTCGATAACGATCCTTAAAAGCATTTCTTAATAAGCCAATTTTATAATTTTGTGCTGACTGCAATTCTCTTATATTAAAAATATATTAAATATAATTTGAGCTACTGAGATTCTCTGGCCACAACATCTTCCTTCGACGGTCGCTTCAGACCCCGCTTCAGATTGTAATTGAGACTTGATTTGTCCCTGTTGCCCGGGGAAAAACAAATAGCCGTGCGCCTAAGCTCATGATTAATGCAGCCGCTAACTGCAGTCGTATCGCACCTTCCTGTTATCCTGCTCTGTGGACCCTCTTGGGGAATACACACTGGGCAGGCAATGCATTTTTAATGGCTCATTTTTTCGCCAACGCTTATCATTTATTGATTGGCTACCGTTGCACGGAGGCCCCATTAATGTTTAAACACTTCAAAATTGTGCCTTATTGGCGTGTGCATATATGATTTATGGCCCCAGCGAGCTAACGTCAATCAAGCCGCACCGCGTCCACCCTCATTGTTTCCCCGAAATGAAGCAATCGGATCTCCCCTACAGCTCCGCGACTCCGACCGCAGTGAGGCGAGCAGTCAGTCAGAGCGACAGCTTGAGTAGTGAGGACTCCAATCAAACTTTTCCAATAAAGTCTTTAGCCTAAAGACAGTGGATAAATCAAGCAATCAGCCAGCGAAAAAGGGCTGCGCTGGGCCTGGCTCTGTCTCGAGTCGACTCGACTGAGTGTGCGTGCCAACAGCTTCCGACATAATTTATGGCGTGCTTTAAAGTTGCTGCCCAGAACGACTCTCTGGCGGATACGACGAGAAAAAACGCGCTGATACCCGTAATATGCGGCCGTACGAATGAATCGAAAATCAGGCCCCGGCCAGTCGAGTGCCGGAGAGTGCGAAATTTAACTTTGTCGATTACACCGTCGAGACCACGCTACGTATACGTAATAATGGGCGAGAACAGACAATCGACGTGGGAGAGCGGAGTGTGCGGGGGAGCGGGGGAGGCTGGGGGCTCCGTGCATAGTTTGATGCGGAGCGACTGTGTTGTTAATAAAAAGGGCAGCCAAGCAAATGAAAAATACTTTTACCCATCTCTATACATGTCTGTGTGTGTGCGTGCCTGCATGTGTGTATGGCCTGTTGGGCAAATTGACTTAATCTAAAATAAAAGTTTAGTGTTGAGCCAAACGAACACACATACATCTGCTACACATGTAGACAGGCATAGGCGCACACAGGCATTGGATTTTTTACTGCCGAAGGAATAAGGGTTACGGGTTGTCGACAGGGGCGGGGAGGGGAGGGTAGAGCATAAACGAGCTAGTTAGGATCCACAAGGATATCGGAAGAAAGGGAGATAGAGTGGAGGCAGCATGTTAATTTCCCAGGAAACGCACGATAAAGTTGAATGCTTTTTCGAAAAACTATTTTACTTTCGGCATCAGCATCCTCCTGGAGGACAACTGCTACAGCTCCTTCTCCTGCTGGGAGTCCACAAATAACAACCCCAAGAGTCGTTATATACATCACATTTCGTATGGCTTACACTCACCTAGCCATATGTGCAGTGGGTCCAGAGAAGCTTTGGCCCGATGGATTCGGTAGGACGCTTTCGAATTGAATCAAATAAAAGGGGCAAAAGTTTTAATAAGGAAATAAATTTTACGAAAATGCTGAAAAGGCAACAAGATTTACGATGCACAAAAGATAAATTTTACAAATGCTCACACACACACAAACACACACTAGAGTGTGGGGGAAGGAACTGCAAATGGAATGGCAATTCATTTATTATCCCCCGTCAGTGTTTATGGGAAGCAAATAACTAAAGCATACATATTCGGCACACATCTGCATAATGTGGGGCAATTACATTTAAAAGATCATAAAAGGAGGTGGAGATAAGACCAAAAAAGCAATTCGAATTTAAATGCCCCTAAACAAGAGCTCAAACTAAATAATG